TTTTAATTATAAAACAAACAACAATTTATGATAAAATTATAGTTATAATTATTATTATTATCAATATTATTCTTTTTTTAAAGATTGTTTTATAGTTTAATTTTGTGAAAAACAGACATTGCTAACCAATCGAAATTTTTAATTCGGTGAGTTTTAGATTCGGGAAGAATTTGCTTCGTATATTCTCTTAAATTATTTAAAATATTTCATTTTTATAATCCGTGTTTTTGAGTCTGATTCGCTCGCATTTGCATGTCCTCTGTGAATAAATTAGTGAAAAAATCAATATAATAATATATAGTGAAAATAATAATAATAAGCAATAATAATTATGTTATTATTTGTCATAAATTTCTTATCGTCATTGTACTTTTATGCATGTCTAGAATTACAAAAACACACATTCATACATAGAAAAATAGACACACGCACACATACACAAACAGATCCATACAGCACACACACACACGCACACACATACACAAACAAATTCACACCCACACGCACATATACACACACCCACACACACAACTCACACACACAAACAGATTCACACAGACACACAAACACACACACAAACACACCTACAAGCTCACTTTACATAGGAAGGGAGCGTGTGCAGGCGTCATTACTCAATAATGACGTAACATCTGTTGGTACAAAGATCCATATAAACTCTGCTACGTCTTTTTTAACTGGCTTGTATTACACGCAGAAAATTACAGTTCACACAATAGTTACATTGATTAAGCTAGCATTTACAATCGTTACATTAATTACATTTTCCTTTACAATTACGAATTTTGCTATTCATCATAATCAGTAGCAGCGTCGTCGACTTATTGTTAGAAGCGTTCACAAAATGGATAACGAATACGATACTTTCCAAAACATCAACAACATCAGCAACAACAACATCAACAACAACAACAACAACATCAACCACAACAACAACAACAATAACATCGCTTTCGAATCTTCTAAAAGATCTTACGACACCAACATCATCAACATTTTCAACTTCATGAGCATCATCAACAACTATACAAAAAACGACATCAACAACAACAATGGCATCAACTGCTCTGGCGTCATCAATGACACACACAATTACACTAACAACAGCAACTGCACCAGCACTAACAACAACGACGACAACAACTTTATCACACTAATAACCGAACTCCAAAACAGAATTTACTTCAACAAACTACTATGGATTAACATAGCGCCTATATGCTTCATTGTCATCGTAACGATAGGCACAATCGGCAACACCTTGGCTATCTATGTCATCATCTCTAACAAGAGGATGCGAAACGTTACTAACTTCTTTCTAATCAATTTGGCCGTCACCGACCTAGCCTACCTGCTGATTTGTGTAACAGTAACGACTCATAAA